GTAAGTGTACAGCTTCCTTTTTACTTGTAAGCTATATCTTTAAAATGTTCAATAATGCAGGGAATTAATCTTTACGCTGGCATATTTTTAAATTTTTCAGTGGCTTCAAAGTAACAAGTCAGTCTCAAATTACATACTTAAATCCAGAGAAACAACTCTTTTCAGTTATGATTCAGTTTAAAACTAAGTGTACAACAATTTGGTTTAGGCAGAAATGTTCGTTTTGTATTCAAATTCTACCAGAATGGATTGTGCTTTTCTGTGCATGCATATATACTGAATACATGAGTCAGATTATCAGAACAGTCCACCTTCTGTTGTTTAAACAATTGTGAACCGAATGCCAGTGCACAGCAGCCAGATTTTTGCATATTCAACTCCTCCCTGTGTTGGTGTGTTCAAACGTAGCTACCATAGGCTAAGTGAATGTTAAATAACAGTCAGATTATCCATGATCTGTTACAGAATTATGTTAACCATCACAGATTTGATGATAACCAGGTTTGTACATAATCCATAGTTGGGGCTTGAATAAGGAGAATCCTGGCTAGCGCACACAATGGCTTAATATAGCTTAAACAACAGTGAACAGTTCTGATCATGCAAAGCAGTCCATTCTCTTGGATAAACCCAAGAGAAATAGCTAGTAGATTCCTAAAACAATCCCTTCTAGGACTGGCTGGGATGCAGATGAAAACATCAGATTTCATTTTGTGTAAATGAAATACACAATCCATTCCTACATATCCCTTATGAACACAGGCAGAGAGTTTGCTGGGGTCTATAACTTCCTTCCTTTATTTCCTGTATGCCTAGTTGGTTCTCAGTGGCTAGCTTTGTTCAATATGGAAAACCATCATGGTTAACTAGCCACAGAAGATTGTTGATGTGTTGTCCAAATTTGTCACTTCCCACAGGGTGGCTTGATTTTGGACAGCATTTTGAAAGCTTATTCTGTTTATTATTTAACCCACAGTTAAACCCAGATGACAGATTTCCTCATAGGTTTTAGGGAGCAACAAGCAAGCAGCTTGACAAGGCTGCTAGAAATCCTCTCTCCCTGATTTTGCTCATGATGCTGCAAGTCACAGCCCCTAAGTAGAACTTCAGAGTGACTATAACTTTTTTCCAGCCCCAGAACTGTATTCAAATGTATTCATAATTTTTAGTTGCTGTTGCTGTTATTTCATAGTACACAAGTATGCACTTTCAGCTGTCAAAAATATATGTAATCTTGCCTAGACCGTTTAAGTAATATGGACTGATATCGACAAGGAGAAACAGTGTAAAGCCTAGTTTGCCCGTAGCTGCTAGGCTGTCACTTGAAAATTACCAGTAAAGGGGGTGCACCAAAGGGGTAGCAACAAAATCTCCCCCTTAGCAATGTAGTTCTCCAGATTTCAAGTGGAACTGATAGTTCTCAATGCCTCCACATTTTTGACACATCCTTAGGTCTTCAGCTGTTACAGTAAGGGAAGATATTAACATACTTTTATACAACTTCCTGTAGTAATTCTAAAAAACCCCAAAGAATGGAATTCAGTGGTTGGGCAGGTATAAGTCTCACTGGTGCTAGGGCTGGCCTCCTATTTACTTCATCATGTTCTATTGCTGCTAAAGTTTGTTTTAACTGCCTGTTAATGTTCACATTTTAAAATTGGTATATATGCACAAATTTCATGACTTGAGGGGTAATTTTTTTTCTCAATGAAAAATTTTCTCAATTTACTGCCAAGTCAGACCCAGTCTGTAAATTGTGTTCATTATTTTGCTACATATATTTGTCAACCTTAAGTGTTCACTCCAGCATCTCCAAAAGACTGGCCAATCTTTAAACTTTTATTATGAACTGTAAAATGTTCTGGGGTGAGAAAGAGACAATTGTACATTTTTCATGTTCTCAAAAACAAACAAAATTCCAGTGACAAAAGGGGTAGCAATCAGAGCAGGCTAGTAAAGAGAAGATGAGGTTTTGCTACAAAAGGCAAAGAGATACCAGCTGGAGGATCACAGTGGAAAGACAGGGAATATACTCTATAGTGTCTGTCTGGTGCACTGTGGGTTGTGTCACGAACAACCAACCCATCATGGCTAATTTGCAGGGTGGCTTCGTATGTTGTATGAACGTCCCGAGTGTATGCAAACAGAGCAAACAAGCCAGGACCCAGGAAGAAGAGTGACAGCTTGAGGAGCATACAAGAAGTACAGACAGCTTTCTGGTCCAAGTGAGGCCTACTTGGATTTTCACCTCCCCTATCTTGTGGATTAGGGCATGGTTGACTGACCGAAAGCAGAAGGTAACCATTAGCGGGGAATCATCTGGATGGTGGCCAGTAACAAGCGGGGTCCCCCAGGGCTCTGTCCTGGGGCCGATCCTGTTTAATCTTTTCATTAACAACATGGAATAAGGGGTGAACAGTCTGCTGATCAAATTCGCAGACGACACAAAAACTGGAGCAGTGGCCACAACTGAGGAGCAGGTACTCCAGATCCAAAAGGATCTGGACAAACTATGGATGTGGGCAGGAGACAACAGGATGGTGTTCAATGTGGATAAGTGCAAGGTCTTGCACTTGGGGCATAGGAATAGCTGTCATAGGTACAGGTTAGGTGACAAGTGGCTGGAGAGCAGCACTTGTGAAAGGGACCTCGGGGTACTGGTTGACTGCAGGCTAAACATGAGTCAGCAGTGTGATCCGGTGGTCAGGAGGGCGAACGCCACCCTTGGTTGCATAGCCAGAAGTGTGGCTTCTAGATCAAGAGAGGTATTACTACCACTCTACACAACTCTGGTGCGCCCGCAATTGGAGTATTGTGTTCAGTTTTGGGCCCCTCATTACAGAAAGGATATAGCCAGGTTAGAGTCAGTGCAGCGTAGGGCCACAAGGTTGGTGGCTGGTTTGCAGGGGATGCCGTATGAGGTGAGACTGAGGGAACCGGGTCTCTTCAGCCTGGAGAAGAGGAGACTCAGAGGGGATATGTTGGCGACATACAGGTATGTGAGGGGATGTCACATGGAGATGGGTAGAGACCTGTTCTCCCCTGCAGAGGAAGGCAGAATGCGCTCCAATGGAGCAAAGTTCAGGGAGCCAAGGTTCCGTTTGGATGCCAGGAAGCACTTCCTGACAGTCAGGACCCCGAGGGTGTGGAATGGGCTTCCACGAGAGGTTGTTGAGGCCCCATCGGTGTGGGTGTTCAAGGATAGGCTGGACGTCCACATGGTGGGCATGTCGTGAGCGGAGCCGGCTGGTGCTGGAGGTCAGACTAGATGGCCCAGGAGGCCCCTTCTGACTTGCTCTGTTTCTATGTTTCTATCCCTTCCAAAGTCAAGTCAAAATGGGTATGTGCTGGTTCCAAACCAGGCTGTTTGTAGAATACTCATATGTATAGAAGTTACTCAAACTAATCTATGCTTCAGTAGGACAGTGACACTTTGTCTAATGTTTATGTTTTATTGAAATTAATGGGCACATACTGTGATCCTTGATTAGAGCATATGATGTTTCAAATTATTTTTGCTGTTTAACAGCAACAGAGTCTCTCATGCCATGAAACATGGCAGTGAGGTTTATTAACTGATGTACTTTAACCATCTGTTATGTTTTTGTTTTGTTTTGTTTGACTTGAAGATGTAACATATCCAGGAAGCAAGCTGGACATTTTCAGATTTGTTACTTAATGTATATGTAAAACTTTTGTATTTTTAAAAATGAATCCAGGAAACAAAGTAGACTAAAAATAGCAATATGTACTTAAGTAGTACTCATTTAATAATATTTTCTACTAACAATTTCATTGTAGGAACATGTTTAAATGTTTTCAGGTGCATGCACACACATACATGATTTTATGTTAAATAAACATTTTTTACTAGCCTGCAGTGACTGTGGGATATATTAAAGCCTGATACATAAAGCTTGCAAAACATGTTTTCCAGCAGACTATTTCATTGAGATAGAAAATGTGTTATTAGGTTATTTTAAAAAGCTATTTTCATAGTTGCAATTATCCAGTCACTTGGTCCAGATTAATTGAACTGACTCTGATGGAATTATTCCAGAGTAACAGGTTTATGAGCCAACTGAAATGTATGTTAACTGCTCTGGGATAGCTTTGTACATACGATAGTAGAATACAAGACTGCCCATGACTGCTTTTTGGAAGCATGCCCAGCATGTGTAACATTTATACATACATTTTGAGAGGACTGTACCATGTCAGTTAATGTACATTTGAACTGAGTCTAAGAAAGGCTGAAGAGTCTAAGAACCCCAAGCTCAGAAGCAAATTATGGCTCTTCTGGGGTCCTTGTCCAGAGTTCTAGCATTCCCCAGTTGAAATATATTTTCCAAGGCTTAATTATTCATGGTAGGAGCTTTTAAGCTACAATAAACTTGGTGTGTGTGTGTTTGCATATTTCCACCTGTTTTATTCTTCTTTTGACTCTGCCCACTACTGGAATGCAGTACCCAAGAACTTTTCCAAAATTAAGGTCATCCATTGACCTTAAAAGAGGTGCTTCACATGTGTTTGTCAATTCCTAATTTATAAATCTGTTCAGAATACAATGATAACATGGAATTTACCTTCTTAAATTTAACAGCTGAATCTCTGAGGAAGATTTTGGTAGGAATCTATCATTTCAGGAACATAGGGAGCTGCCCTCTACCATGTCATTCCATTGGCCCATCAGTCCAGTACTGTTTACACTGGATGGCAGCAGTTTTCCAGGGTTTCAAGAAGGATATTTTCCAGCTTTATTTTAGATGTGGTCATGAGCAAAAGTAATTGAAGATGGGCATGCTACCTTCAAGTGGAAATATAAGTGAACAGCTAGATAAATTGAGACTGATGACAAACTTTAGCATCTGGTCGTAATTCGTCTTAATTTCCTTTCTTGGCTTTTTAATGAGAGAATAAAAATTGTAGTTGCAGTGATAATAGTTTTGGCAGGTACCTGAAAAGTAACAATTTAAACATTTTAGGATTTAAGCTTATGA